ACGCCAACTGCTGGTCCAGAGTTTTCTTTGTTTTTCTGTTGACATTCTCTTGTAAGTTTAAACACAAAAGGATTAATTAAAGGATATTAGGTGCTCTAATACATTTCTGAGCAGACTCAAGCACAGGCTTTAAACCAGGAACTCCTCCAGTAGAATTTCTTTGTGTGTGTGTGTGTGTGTGTGTGTGTGTGTTTGGTATGTTTGTTTTGTTTGTTTTTTTAAAGAATTGGGACCAGCAGATGGCATGGCGGTTACATTGGTGGCCTCCCACATGGTGAACCACAATTTGAGTCCCAGGCCTGGTGGTTTGAAAACCATGTCAAGTGCTTTCCAGAAGATACAGTCCTCTGGCTGTCAGCCAAGGTCGCATTTCCACCTTGCTGCAAAGACATCTAGTAATCGTAGGCTTCTGCCATCCAGCCCGTGCATCTGTGGAACAATGCTCTGGAAATCAGTCCACGTGGGCATCTCTGAGATTTGCAGTAGAACAGCACATCCTGTCTCCCTGCTCCCCCTCCTTTTCTGCCTCTGAAAAAAACCCACTCAGCCTCTGTCTTTAAAAGGTTCTGCTGCCCCTTATTGTGAAAATCTGAGGAGCCCTGAAGAGAAAGATTCTGAAATCAGCAAAAATATCCCTTTTTACGATGCCTATGCTTTGCAGTTTTCTAGTCGAATGTTGTATTGCAAAGCTATTTTAAAATCTCAAAATGTTCTCTCTGTATTGTTTGTTCAGTCTAGATTGAAATGCAAATGTAGCTTCTGGTTCAATTAGATAATCTGAGCACACACATTAATAATTACCACTCCTAACACCTGATACTCATCAAAGTGACAGTCAAGGAAGAGAATAGAAGGGAGGTTCCAACAGCTAAGAAGGTAGAGCGATCCACTGCCTTTAAAATACAGGGAGTGCCTAACCCAGAGGAAGAAGCAGAGAGCCCACGGAGGGTCTGTGTCGAGCAGTCCCTAAACAGCAGCTACTCCTGCAGCTGCTGGCTCTGCTAATTTGCTATACTTCCATAGATCTGGCCAGCCCAAGCAGATGTTGACAGTTTATTACTCACGGCACAGCAGGGAACGTGTCCTCCATTTCCATCAGTTCTGCTTGTCCGTCAGGCCTCATGGGGGCAATACTGAGCCAGCCAAGTGAATACTGCCACTGAGGAATACTGAATTTAAGAAACCCCCAATCTTAGACAGGACTGCTAGCAAACTTGCTCTACCTTTGCCTCAGAGGAACACATTATGCTTTGGTTTCATTTGTTTTGGATGCAGATGCTAGGGAGACATTAGCTTTATTAACATGGTCAGGAAATGAACCGTCCTCTGACCCAGAGGAAGAAAACATCTCTAACTTCCAAAGACATTTGCTAAGCAAACCATCTTGAAAAGACTGTCTATAAAAGCTGTTGTAAGAATATGCAAACACCAGAGAGAATGGTCACCCAGCATTCTTGTATGTATGAACAGAGTCAGATGGAGAGGTAAGGTAGAAAACAAGCTGTTCATTAAAGGTCAGCTCAGGAGGAGTGTTATGGTTTGGATAATGATTTGTCCCCAGAGTTTCATATTTTGGAATGTGATATTGGGAGGTGGTGAGACAGTGTGCGGTAATTAGAGCACGGTGATTGCATCACAAAGCCAACACTCTCATGAATGATTAATGATAGCTCATGAGACCTAGTGAGTTCTAGCACTTATAAGAAGGGGTTCGTTTTTTCTTTCTTTCTTTTTTAAAAGAGATTTTTGTTATAGGGTACATGTGCTGGCCAGAGAGACAGACATAGGCAGAAAGCAAGAAATCACCCCCCAGAAGGTATGGCCACACTGCATTCCTTTCTCCATCCTTTTCTCAGGATTTTAGGCGCACACAGGCGCGCGAGTGCACGCACACACACACACACACACCCATTGTGAGTTTTAAGCCACCAGGTCCGGAACTCGAATCACTGTCGACTACATTGGAGTCCAGTGACATAACCATCACATCACCTGCTGGTCCCAGAAGGGGTTCTGGCAAGAGCTGGTTGCTATAAAAGAGACAACTCACCTACCACTGTCTATGCTATAGGCTAGCCTGATGCCAGGCTTAGACCTTTGAATCACTCAGTCAGGTATTTCTGCTAGCAGTGCAGTAACAGACTAAGACACAGGACAGTGTCTGACTAGTCCTGCTCCGACCCTGGATGCAGATGTGGGAGGTGGTAAACTGCTACCTTTCCACCCCCTCATATTCTAGGACCAATGCAGGGGGATTTCACTGCATGAACATTTAGGTTATGGCCTCCTTTTCTTGGACTTACTGATGTCACAGGATGCTATGAAGTGTGGGGTAAGCCTAGGATAAGTCGTGTGGGGGCTGAGCAAAGGTTTGGGGATAGACAGGAGTTGCTGGGTAGCACTGACGTTTAGAGGAGTGCGGGCCACTGTTGAAGAGATGTTCGCAAGGGCTGTTGGTGGGATGCATAGCCAGCCATGGCCCTGGCCACAGGTCATAACTAGTGAAGACCACAGATCTGCAGATAATGACTCAGCTTCCAGGTAAAAAAAAAAAAAAGCCCTTTACTGAGAAACCCCTTATTCCTGTCCAGGTGGACCATTCAGGTTAGGCCTTCTCTCTCAGGGGAACCCCTAGCCTTCTACCCTAATTCTTTTCTTCCCCTGGATATTTTCACCTTTCAGAATCAAGCTAAGGGGCCAGCCTGTGACATAATGGTTAAGGCAGCTAGTTCCCATGTGGCTAACTGCGCAGTTCAAATCCTGGACCCACCCAGTGCTTGAAGAAACATGCCAGGCATGTGCATGCCCAAAATCCTAAAAGGAGGGGGCCAGCTGGTGGCATTGTGGTTAAGGTGGTTGGAGTCCTGTTAACGGATGGCAAAGTGTCGAGTTAGTTGGGTTGTGAAGTCCTTGGTTCTTTGGGTCCAGATCACTAAAATTAGAGATCTGTCCCTAGGCGCAAAATGAAACTGCAACCACGAATGAAGTAGATAGAAAAGAAGATTTAATAGAAAGAAAGGAAAGGAAAGAAAGGAAGTACACCCAAAAAGATTCTTGGGCGGGCAGATTGCCAGGTGGCAACCGCGCTTGGTACTAGTTAACTGTTATTACTAGAGGTCATGAATATTCATTAGTGGGAGGCCCCTTACACTGCCTATGTTCTTCCTTTAAATTTGAGTCCACACGTTCTTTTCCTGCACCTGCGCACCTTCCTCACAGGTCAAGAACGAGGGACTTGATCACCTAATCGCGCCTGGTGTCCAATGCGAGCCAGGTTGCCCCAATTAGACTGCCCAGTTAGTCCATTGCCCTAATAGGAATTGGGGCATTGACCAAAAACGCTTGCTTAGGTCTTTTTGATAAGAAAAATCTATGAATCATCCCTGTGTGCTTCCCTCAGGCCTCAGGGAAGGAAGATGGCAAATTGCCTGGCCCTCCTGGCACCCGAAGCCAGATGAGCCTTTTGCTTTTCTCTTAGGGCTGCCCACTCATGACTAACTAACTGCCTATCACAGTCCCAGACCCAGTGGCTTAGAAAACAGGGACCAGCAGTTAGCATTATGGCTATGTTGCTGGACTCCCATGCAGTCGACCGCAGTTCAGGTCCCAGACCCAGTGGCTTAAAACTCACAAAGAGCGCGTGTGCATGCGTGCCCAAGATCCC